AATAATAACGCTGATAACAGTACGTACAGCAATAACGGTTCAAGGCATAACGGTAACAATTTCAACAATAATAGGAATCGGTCATCAAACAACAATCGAAACAATAACAGCAACAATAATAGTAATAGATGTCCAAATTCACGCAGTAATGCTAATGTGCGCGCTTTAAACGCCCACGCCCCTCAGGAGCGAACACTGAGGGCGGAAGAAATGGACAACTAAATACTTCTTTTTCAACAAAAGGCATATACTGTCTAAATATAAATTACTCTGATTTTATTGAATTGCGAATTAATGGTTCAAACAAATTTTGTACGTTTTTAGTCGACACGCAAGCCGACATTTCTTTAATAAAAATTTCTAGCATTGATAAACATTTTTCTATAAATACGAACGATATAATTAACATTACGGGCGTGACTTCAAACACCGTTTCAACTCTAGGTAAAATAACGACAAATCTGACTTTTTCGAACTTTTTTATAAAACATACATTACATGTGGTTAACGACGACTTTAATATTCCAGCAGACGGCATATTGGGTAAAGACTTTTTAAAATTCAATAAATGCGTTATCAGCTATGCAAGCAATTGCATTTCCTTCTGGGTAGGTAACAAAAAAGTCGCGATTCCGATTCTTCACGGAACTGAAAGCGATACCTGCGTAATTCCACCCAGATGCGAAGTTTTTCGTCTTTTTAATTTAGGAAGTTCACCAGAACCACTTTTTGTGGAATCACAAGAAATCGATAGCGGAGTATTCACAGCACGATGTATAATTAGTACAAGCAACCCAATCGTCAAAGTCATAAATACCACAAACGATATAAAATACGTAAAGAACTGTAACATCCGGACTGAAAAACTTTCTAATTTCAATGTTTATTCTATAAATAAGACAAGAAACGACGACAACCGGACAAAAGAACTGATTAACGTTTTGAAAAATCAAATTCCTAGTTACGCTGAAAGCAAATTACTTAACTTGTGCGTAGATTACGCAGACATATTTGCACTTCCCGACGACAAAATGACGTTAAATAACTTTTACGAACAAAAACTACGTTTGACAGACAATAACCCAGTTTACATTAAAAATTACCGATTACCATATTCCCAGCGTGAAGAAATAAATCGTCAAGTTAACAAGTTATTAGAAAATGAATTAATCGAAGAAAGTTATTCGAATTATAATAGTCCTTTAATTGTCGTTCCAAAAACAGATACTAATGGTAAAAAAGCATACCGTATGTGCGTAGACTTTCGCGCTGTTAACAA